CCCCCCCCCCCCTGGCCCCCGAGCCGCGCCCGCGGCGCCCCCTGCCGGCGCACTCGCTCAGGTGAGCGCTCTCGGGTTGGCCGCGGGGCTAGCGCGCGTGCGCACAGGTGAGCCTCCCGCCCTCCCGCCCCGCCCCCGGCTTGGCCACCTGCCCGGGACACTTGCGGTTGGTTGTTGCCCTCGGGTCGCTCCCGGGCGGGGACACGGAACCGGGCCATGGAAGCTACATCGGGGGCTCGCGAGCCCCGAGCCCGGCCGAGAGAACGCGACCCGGAGCGGCGCCCCCACGCGGACCGAGACCGCCGCCCCGAGCGACAGCGGCACAGACCCGGGCACCCGCGCAAGGAGAGAGGCGGGGACGGGCGGAGGGACGGGAACCGGCGAGGGGACCGGGACCGGGAGAGGGACCGAGACCTACGCCGGGACAGACACAGGGACGAAGCCCATCGCGCAGGTGAACACTCCCGCCAGAGCCGGACGCGGGACAGACCCCGGGGGCCGAGCTGGGACGCAGCCCCGCCCCCCTGGCCCGCGCCTTGGGAAACCCCGGAGCCGCCGCCCCAGAGGAAGGAGGGCTTTGGGCGCCGCGGACCGGAAAGGTGAGGCGGGGCGGGGGGCCCTGCGACCTTGGCCCGGGGGGGCCTGGGGCGAAGGCCCGCCAGCGCAGCTCTGGCGCCTCCGGCTACTCGTCCGAGGAAGAAATGCCATTTCTTTTGCGCTCTCAGAGGTGACCTGGCAGGGAAGGAAAACTTTCTACGGTGCCCCCATCTCGAGACTCGAACCCGATTAACAAAGAGAAAACCACCCCTGTTAGCAGTGGCAGGGCCGAGAGACCAGGCGAAGAGGAAGACAGGTCCCCAGGACTAGAAAAATGAGGAAGATTAGGTAGGTGGGGTTAACCCGAGGCCCCTCCCTGGCCGTCCCGGTGGTCACAGGATTGCCCCTTGGGGCTTCAGACTCTTATCCTGTGTTCCCAAATCAGCCCTCCCCGACTTCAGAGTCCCCTTCCCTGGTGGCTGGGGCCTAATGAGGTCAACAGAATGAAGAATTAAGCGTTTGATGTGTTCCTCTCCCAAGGGTATATGTATTTCCAAAACAGACGTAGGAGAAGTGTAGTCGAACAGTGTAGGAGAAGCTACAATTTGTTTGTTTATCGGAGTCTCACTCTGTCGCCCAGACTGGAGTGCAGTGGCACACTCCCAGCCCCTGCAGCCTGGCTGCTGGGCTCAGGTGATCCTTCTACTTCAGCCTTCCAAGTAGCTGGAACTGCAGGTGTGTGCCACCATGCCAGGACAATTTTTTGATTTATTGTATGAGGGCTTGCCAAGTTGCCCAGGCTGGTCTCGAACCCATGGGCTCAGGCAATCCTCTCGGCTCCACCTCCCAAAGTGCTGGGATTACAGATGTGAGCCATCAGATCTGGCTAGAAGTTACACTTTTAACCCAAGAATTAAACCTACCTAAAATTCCCCACTGAAGGGTGTAGGTTTGCTTCCCTGTTGTCAGCGAGATCTTTCCAGGCAGCCTTATTCAAATCCCATGATTGTTCGACACCCCACCCTCCTGAGTGAACAAACTTTGCCTTGTAGATCACAGAGAATTCCCATAAGCCCTTATGAAGAGAAAGCCTCAGGATGTTCTGGAAGACTGGGGGGGGGGGGCAGAAAAGACAAGAGGGGACCTGGTCCCCATACCCCCTCCTGGGGAGCCGGTGTTTTATCCATCTACTGAATGGGCAGATGATGTGTGCAGCACCAGGGATATTTTGCCTCTGCCGGCTCCCACAAGGGGACATACAGGTCCTGGGGTGATGACTGCTTCTGGTGTTTGACACCTAGCCTCTAAAGAGGAGTCAGGATCCCCTCTGCTGTGGGACTTGGAGCTGAGGCCCATCTCTATCTCTGTTGTGTCCACACAGCGGGAAAGTAACTCTCCTGAGTTTATGTTACATTATCTAAAACCAACAAGCATGACAAAGAGTGCGTCCAGATATAGTCATAGGCACTGGCTACGGTTTCCCTGGCTAAAGCCACACTGCATGCAACTACACAACCTGGGAAGCATGTTTAGGTTTCCTTATAAACCAATGTCCCAGTGCCCCTCACTCTGAGGTGAGTGAAGGGATTATTTTTGCTTTTTACTTCTTTTCTTCACAGCCCGTTGGTCATTTAAAACCAAAGAGCAATTTATTTCTGTCTTTCCTTCACTTAACAAGCATTTATTTCATGGACAGGATGCAGGGGCAGCTGCTACAGAAATCCAATCCATCTGGTGTTGGAGACAGACAGGTAAATGGACCAGTTGCAGCCCAGTGTGAAACGACCCTTGCAGGAGAGACAGACTCCTTGGTGAGAACAGAGGCTGGTCTCTGACGAGGCCTGGAACATTTTTCCAGAGGACATAAACTCAACGCTGAGCTCTGGAGAAAGAACAAAAAGGAGAAAGAGGGGAGAAAGAGGAAAGGTGGCCAGGCACAATGGCTCACGCCTATAATTCCAGCACATTGGGAGGCCGAGGTGAGATGATTGCCTCAGCCCACGGGTTCAAGTCCAGGCTGGTCAACTTGGCGAGACCTCGTCTCTACAATAAATCAAAAAATTAGCTGAGCATGGTGGTGCACGCCTGTAGTTCCAGCTACTTGGAAGGCTGAGGCAGAAGGATCACCTGAGGCTGTGGTGGCATGAGCATGCCACTGCACTCCAGCCTGGGTGACAGAGTGAGACTCCAACTCAAAAAGAGAGGCGGGGGGAGAAAGAGGAAAGGTGTTCCAAGCAGAGAATAACTTCTGCCATGATTTGGAGGCATGGGAGAGTAGTCATCTTTTGTGGGAGAGGGTACATTTTACTACAGCTGAGTCTGAGCGTGAGGTTTTGAATTTAGCAAGATGAGCAGGGGTCTTCTGTGTGTTTAAGAAGTTTTAGGATTTCAAACCTGAGAGAGACATGATGTTCTAGAAAGATCCCTGGAGCCCAGTGAGTAGAATGTTGCCCCTCATCGAATCTTGGAAAGCCCAGGATGTGCTGCAAAAGTGGGGGAAGACGGAACAGAAAATGCTAGGGCTGGCAGAGGAAGAAATATGATGATATCAAAAACTATCTGCAAGCTGGGTGCAGTGGCTCACACCTGTAATCCCAGCACTTTGGGAGGTGGAGGCGAGAGGATTGCCCAGGGGTTCAAGACCAGTCTGGGCAACATGGCAAGACCTTGTCTCTACAGTCAATCAATCGATCAATCATTAGCTGGACATGGCGCATGCCTGTAGTTTCAGTTACTTTGAAGGCTGAGGCAGAAGCGTTGCCTGAGCCCAGCAGGTCAAAGCTGTGGTGGCCATGAGCGTGCCACTGCACTGCAGCCTGGGCAACAGAGTGAGACTCTGACTCGAAAAACAAAAAAGCTGTCTGTAGCATCCGTACCCCTGGAGAATTATTGCTGACCCAGTGCATTCCCAAGTAACAAGAGAAGAAAGAGAATGCCAACCTGGGCATCAGAGTCATGTGAATGCAAACTAGTTTTGAAAAGACCTGATCCATGCTCAACTGAGAACTTAAGCTCACCAAGAAGGCGACTCACAACTACCCGGTTAAGCAGCTCCCGCAGGCAGACAAACCAGCATCAAAGATGGTGCTCACACATCCAGGGTTACAGGATCTGTCACGTGACTAGTTAGCGGAGTTGGGCTAAGTGTCTGGATGTCCTGTGGGTCTGCTAAAACAGAATTCTCTGGAATGTGAAATACTGATGTGAAGCTTGTTTCTCTAGTGCTGGGGCCCAGAATGAGGAGTCAGGCATTCTAATCCTGAACAAGCTATTGAATTGGAGGTCCCCTAATGGTTGTGTATGCTTTTTGGTTATAGTGAACCCCCTTCAGGGAGGTATCTGCCCTCAAACCCCAGGACCGAGCGAGAGGAAGTGGAATATTACCAATCAGAGGCGGAAGGACTCCTGGAATGCCATAAATGCAGATATTTGTGCACTGCCAGAGGTGAGCCATTTTGGAGGCTGTTTGACCATTTACTGCTGCTGGTGGTTCTAGAAGAGGTGGTGAAGCAAAAATTCAGCAGACTTCCTGTGGGTTCCTAGCATTTTCATTTTCATGCCTGCATAGGGTTTTTTTCTTAAGTAGGAATGTCTGAAAAGTTCTGCTAGATTTCCCATGCTTCTCCTCAAACATGCCCCTGGGGGTGGAGAGGCAATCATGTTTTGCAGCTTTTAGACTGGGTGGGAACTGGGTGGCCTGCAGGTGGAGCTGGTTATGAGCTGCCAGCTGTCAGAGGGGGAGTCTCTGGCAAGGTATCTGAGTTAGCAAAGAAAGAAATCACCTGGAGTGGGAGCCAGGTTGCAGCTCAAGCCATGTGAACAGGAACAATTTCCTTGGAGATCTGATATCCAAACACTCCATCAATGTTTTTTAAACTTTAAAATGGCTTTTAAGGCCAGGCATGATGGCTCATGCCTGTAATCTCAGGGCTCTGAGAGGCTGAGGCAGGAGGATTGCTTGAGTCCAGGAGTTCAAGACCAACCTAGGCAACATAGTGAGACACCATCTCTACAAAAAAAAAATTTTTTTAATTATCATGGTAGCACATGCCTGTTAGTCCCAGCTACTCAGGAGGCTGAGGTGGAAGGATCGCTTGAGCCCAGGGATTCAAGGCTGTGGTGAGCTGTGATTGTGCCACTGCATTCCAGCCAGGGCAACAGAGTGAACCACCCAACTCAAAATAAAATAAGATAAGCCAGGCTCGGTGGCTTAGCCTGTAATCCCGCGCCTTGGGAGGCTGAGATGAGTGGATTGCCTGAGCCCGCGGATTCGAGACCCGCCTAGGCAACTTGGTGAGACCTCATCTCTACAATAAATAAAAAATCAACTGGGCGTGGTAGCATGCGCCTGTAATTCCAGCTACTCGGAAGGCTGAGGTGGAAGGATCGCCGGAGCCCAGCAGGTTGAGGCTGCGGTGGCCAGGAGTGGCCACTGCACTCCAGTCTAGGTGACAGAGTGAGACTCCAACTCAAAAAAATAAAATAAAATAAGATAAGATAAAATAAAGTGGCTTTTAAACAATAAGAAATATATTTAATATTAAGACTAAGTTCACATCCACGCACAAACAAAAATGTCATGAAACCATACCCTATTATACACCAAGTACTCTGTTTTATATTCTGTTTCATTAAAAACAAACAAAAACATACTTAGGTAGGACTCACAGTCTAAAAAAACACTTAGATGCTATCATGTGTCCACTCCAGACATGGGTTCCCATCCTAGCATTGGTCTTAGTCTTGCCAGAAATGAAGAAAATCTGGTTTGTCTGGGTGAGCCTTACAGCTCATGTGATTTGGTGAGAAATTTTCTTAGGCTTCGTATGACGAAGAGAAAATGTCCCAGCCTAAGGTAGAGAAATCATGGAGCTCATACCTGGAAATGTATCTTAGGACGATTACAAGGATTTGTGTGATTACAGGATTAGGGAAACTTTGATGAAAAGATCCCTAGGCAATTCAGGTACAAGGTTATTACTTTAGTTTTCACATATAATGAGACAAGCTCATTGCCTTTAATTATCGCAACAAGTCCTGATGTTCAAGGAAGTACAGTAAGTTACCCAAAGACACACAGCTGTTAAGTAAAAGAACTGGGCCAGGTACAATGGCTCAAGCCTATAATCCCAGCACTTTGGGTAGCTGAGGCGAGAGGGTTGCCTGAGCCTGTGGGTCCAAGACCAGCCTGGGCAACTTGGTGAGACCTCATCTCTACAATAAATCCAAAAATTAGCTGTGTGTGGTAGCATGCACCTGTAGTTCTGGCTACTTGGAAGGCTGAGGCGGAAGGCTCACCAGAGCCCAGCAGGTCTAGGCTGTGGTGGCCAAGAGCATGCCACTGCACTCCAACCTGGGCGACAGAGCGAGACTCCAACTCAAAAAAAAAAAAAAAGTAAAAGAACTGGAACGGAAACTGAGATCCTGACTCTAAGGCCTCTAATGGTTTCCTTGCCTGATCTCCCATCCTTTCCTGACGATATAAGAACAGGAAGAAGCCAGAGTCTAGTTCGCAGGTTTCTCCAGAGATTTTTTTTTTTTTTATTCCATGGTTGATTTACTTTGAGGAGAGGGCAGGGCTTGACCAAAGTACAACTTGATTTAGCCTGAATTGCTTCTGGCTATTTGGCTTTGAGCCTGGAGGTTGGGTTTCTAAGTTTAAGGTAGTGAAAAGATGGTTCAGCAGTCAGAAGTTAACAAATGAGGGCTCATAAAGAACTCTGGGTGTGCAGAGGCCCATATAAATACACAATGTGGTGTTGTGTTGAGAGAAACAGCCTTTCACACCAAGAACTTATCCCTAGCAGGAAGCACATGCCTGGATAAAGATCACCTGAGAATTTTTTTTTGACCCATCTTGGAGTTGATCCTTTGTGATGTCTCTTCTGTAGCAGTGAAATCATGCCTCCATTATGGCACACTTGCAAAAGTAGCAGGCAGCTGTGGCCTTCTCTGACTTCCTAGGGAGACCTGGAGTCACCCTTAGGAAGTTCTCTGGGACACTAAGGATACCAATAGAAAGAGATAGGCCCCAAATTCACTTATACAAGCAGGAGGGGCTGAGGAGAAAGTTCACATAAAGAACAGGCACAGGTGTCACCTGAGTACATCAAGCCACCAGGGAATCCCCGTGCATATGTGGTTTGTGCTCCTCTGTTATTTGGAGGGATGGGTGACAAGTTAAGAGTTCCCTGTAGGATGGTGTGTTCCCTGGCTCCCCTCTCAGCTCCCCCCATTTGCATTTGGAGAAGTTTCTCCTTTCTCTTTTGTTCTTTCCATCTTGCCTTAGACCCTCAGTGTTCAAATCATGCTGGTTTGCTCTCAACTCCCAGTCTTAGTTGCAAAGCATCTTTGAAATGTTACTCTTCTTCAGGGTGCTCATGCCTATAATCCAGCACTTTGGGAGGCCAAAGTGAGAGGATTGCCTGAGTCCACAGGTTCGAGACCAACCGAGGCAACTCAGCAAGACCTTGTCTCCACAATAAATCAAAAAATTAGCCAGGCATGGTGGTGCACGCCTGTAGTTCCAGCTACTTGGAAGGCTGAGGTGGAAGGATCACATGAGCCCAGCAAGTCGAGGCTGGGGTGGGCGTGAGCGTGCCGCTGCTCTTCAGCCTGGGTGACAGAGTGAGACTCCAACTCAAAAAAAGGTAAAAAATAAAAATAAAGCTAGCTGGGTATGGTGGCTAACGCCTGTAATCCCGGCACTTTGGGAGACAGAAGCGAGATAATTGCCTGAGTCCAGGGGTTCAAAACCAACCTGAACAACATGGCGAGACCTCATCTCTGCAAAAATATCAAAAAATTAGCCAGGCGTGGTGGCACATGCCTGTGGTTCCAGCCACTTGAAAGGCTGAGGTGAAAGGATCACCTGAGCCCAGCAGGTTGAGGCTGCAGTGACTGTGAGCATGCTGCTGCACTCCAGCCTGGGCGACAGAGAATCTAACTCAAAAAAAAAGCCAGGTTCAGTGGCTCAGCCTGTAATCCCAGCGCTTTGGGAGGCTGAGGTGAGTG